ATAGACCCTAAGTGTCAGCATTTTTTTTTTAATGCTTAACACCCTTGATTAATTACTTACATTTCACTTGTAATTCCGCTCGATATTACAAATTCAGTTTCCTTTACTTCAATACATCTTTAAGGTATTTCTTTCCCATTATTAATCTCTTTTGTTTTTTTTTTGCGCCTGGACAACAATATTCATTTCGCACTTGATCCGCATTCCAATTTTAATTAAGTAAGAACGTTCTCTTCTTAGATTTTATTGTGTCATTCCATTCCAATTGGTTATTTTTACATTCATTACATACAAACATACATATCACGTATTTTATATTGCACTTGTTCAATAAAACTTTTTATGTGCCTTCTCAGCTCTTTTTTGTACTTCTGTCTACCTAGTCTTTCTTCTTGGTTACCAGGTGGCAGCGCTTATGAATTCCTTGTGATAAATTACCTAACGAAGGCAAATGGAATTCGCTTATTAATCAAAACACTTCTTAATATTTTTTTAATTTATTTATGCTCCTATTGGCATGTAGCAGAACACTCTTTTTTTGCAATGAATAATAATAAAATCGGACTAACTGCTCATTAAAAATGATTAATTAATTGCGCTGAAATGGGACAAAAGCTAAATCGACAACTTGTTTGAATTTCAGAGTGGTGTGTGTGTAAATACACACATACTATGGGTTGAGGTGACGATTTGCAAAATTAAATGAATTGAGATCAAGTAAGGTTAAGTGGATTAAGAGGATTAAATAAGTCAGCGAATATTTATATTGATACAAATTTTGCATTGGGTACGCGTAGAAAAAAAAAACTTTTACATTGAAACTTCAAATAATTCCGCATGTAAGGATCACTGAAGTTCTCAAGCTCTAAATCTGGCTACTGAAAAAAAAATATTTTTAAGAAAGTGGTATAAAAATTGTGAAACTTTATTTAGTTATTAAAGGAAAATTATTATTCCAAAACCATTCTTAGGAGAGCTGTGCTACCTATGTACATATATGCATTTTGTTACACTAAATTCCTTTCTTGAACATTGACCTGAAATAACTGTAAAAATACACTGGTTTTCTTAGAGAGTCGCCATCTATTTTATGCGAAAGTATAAATAAAATTAAAACTTTGTAAAGTGTTTGTTCTTTTGAGCGAATAACAAGTTCGATTGAGACTTTAAACCGTGAAAATGTATGATTAGGGTATATCAGTTTACTAAAATATGTAATGAGAAAAACGCGTTTAAGCCTACTCTTGCGCCAAATTATATTTAATACAGTTGTTACCTACATACAAAATAAAAGTTATTACAATAAATTTAAGTTAAAACAAAGTATGCTTATAAATGTGTATGTTATGCACAAGTAACACGGAAAATTTTGTAAAAGAGTTGCCACCGGCATAAAATATTAAAACTGTTTAAAAAAATGTATTTTAGTATTGAATTAAATTTTTATATTATAGGCAAAATAAAAAAAATACTTATATCGCCCATCTACTTGAATATATGAAAATCGAACAAAATTTTTATTAAACGAATTATTTCGAGAAAACTTAAAGCTGGAATCAAATTTTCAATTGAGGCTCCATGAATTAAAGAAATTAAAATAAACGAAAAATAATGTATCTAAAAATTTTGTACAGAATATGTAGTTTTTGACGATTTCTTCCATGAACAGTTTTTATGGAAACTTTTAAATTATAAATAAAAAAATGCATTGTTTTTATTTGCGTTTAATTGTAAATAATTTTGTCTTTATTTATGTTAATTTTGTATTATTATATCTGGGAAATCTTATTTTTAATTGTTTTTTTGTTGTTATTTTGTTTGATTTTTAGATAATCTTTTATTTATAATCTACTTGCTTTTTAGGGTTATTTTAGTTTGTTTTTCATTGATTTTATTAAATTATCAAATTGTTTTAATGTTTATTTTATTAAATTTTTTATTTGATTTTTAGTTATTTTTACTTTTTACTTTCTTGCTAAACTTTTTTAAACATTTGCTGTTTTCTCTTTTTATTTAAATTTACTTTAATTATTTAGGATTAATTTAATTATTCCGTTATTATTTAATTACATTTTTTTGTTAAATTTTCCATCTTCTTTAATTCGTTTTATTTAATTTAATTTTTTGTTGAATTTTCTACCTTCTTTAATTCGTACTTTTTTTTCTTGATTTCTTTCATTTGATTTTTTTTTTTACTATATATCGAGCCATAACTGCCAAAAAGGCGTAAGTGATATCTTTTTCAATTTTTTTTTATGCAGAGATGTTCCTAGAGCATCTAGATGCATTTCTACACCAAAAATAAATTTTGAAAAAAATGGCGCTTACGTCTTTTTGGCTTTTAGTGTCTTTTAATGAATCAAATTTTATTTAATTTAAATTTTTGTTACATAATTTTGTTTTGTTTTATTTTTGTACATGATTATTTTTACGGTTTCGTTTTTTATTACATTTTTTCTAAACATTTATTTCATGCATATACGTTTTTTTCATTTCACTCTTTTTTTTTGTTAACATTTCTTATTTGCCTTTGTGTTTTTGTTTTGTTTGTTTTTGTGTTTTTTTCAATTTTCTACTTGTTTATTATTTTTATATTTTATTTGAATAAATTTTGTTTCTTTTGTTTAATAGCATTTAATTTACCTTTTTAAACTGTTTTTTTATTTTATTATATTATTTTAATTTTTTTTTTATTTTTTATTTTTTTTTACCTTGCTTAATTATTTCATAACACTTTTTATTTTATTCAATTTGTTTTCATTCGTCTTTCTTCTTTTATTATTTTTTAATTAATTTTTAACAAATTAAAAAAAAAATCGGTATGTAAAAAAAATTAATGAAAAATCAAATTTTTGTAGATTTTGGATGCCGCACTTAACTATTTCATAGCAAATCTCTTACTCCACACTTTCCCATAATCCAACTGACTTGCCACAGAATTCTTTACAACACCTCATTAACCATTTATTTGTGGTCAAGTACTAACAAGTTAATTAATGCATACATACATTCATTCGTTTTAATTGAATTCGTAAATCAATCTAAAATGTCTTCTATTTACTCTGCACATTACGTAATCCAAATTATATGATTCTAATTAAATATTCTGCAAACAAGTTCTCATTACCAGCGAATGCAAATGCAAATGTAAATTTAAATAAATCAAAAAGCAAACAGCGCGTGTCCAATTGCAACCAGTTGTTGTTGTTGTTGCTTTGGCTAGCAAATTACAAGACCGACGAAGTAACCACCACTGCGCCACCCAACCAAAATGCCACTCACAACAGGTGAAATCGAATCAGCACCTACTTATCACTAAAAAAAAAAATAATTTTTATTTCCATGTTATTCTAGATGCTTTGCAGTTTCGCAATACATAGTAGTTCCGTTAGAGTATTGCAAAAAAATGCACACAGTTTGACGGAAATACAAAAAATATATTAAATAATCAAGTTAACGATTTTTTGAGCCGCCAACCTTGAGTTCGTGCGGTAGCCGAATTTCGAGTGAAATCGAAGTATTGCAGAAATTTGTGAGACCAGTTTTATTTTCGTTACTTGCAATTCTATATTTTTTTAGTTGCATACGATGAAAATTAGAATGATTTATGCGTATTGATGAATAAATTTGAAGTCGTTGAAAAATTATTATGTAGAATTCTGGTCATTTATTTATGTAATCAGCTTATTTATTTTGAATAATTGGGTGGCATTTGACTTTTAAGCTCAAATTATTTTGTATATTTTAGGACAGTAGGCGTATTCTAAAGCCTTTCAGAACGGAGTTTTATTACAAAAAAAACCTAAATAATCGTGATTACAATTTTCGCATATTCTGAAATAATAGGCTAAAAAAAATGATTTTCCGCCTACTCAGAAGGCCCGTTATTGTCATTTTATACTGGAACATGACCCACTAACTCTTATTCAACCAAGTGGTATTCAAGTGATGTTAATCTAGTATATAATTAAAATATTAGAAGATAATTTAGTTTAGTAAGTTTGAAGTAGAGGAGTAGATTAAAAAAGATTCTGAAAAGTCCGAACCCTGTTTTCTATGGATTGAAAGGTCGGTTCTCTCCGCAAGTCTCCGGTAATCTTAAGCTCAGATTGACAGCTTTTTATGACATTTTTCAGGCAGAGTTGGCCGCTATAAAAGAGGCAGTCGATGGGCAACGCAGTAGCGTATTACCGATTAGAAGGGTGTCTCTACTCCGATAACCAAGCGGCCCAAGGATCACTCATAGTACGATTAAAACTGGAAGAGGGATGCCCGGCCCCTCTCCAAATCGTCTCGAACTACTTCCCAATTAAATTAATTTGAGAATTTGCTAGGCATGGTACCCTGTCATCATTTCCCCGGACAGAAGACGCATTGGATTTTCATTAATAGGTGTTTTTTTTTCTTCTGAAAAGCTATCTTCGTCCAAATTCTATTTTTAAAAAATAAACAGTTTTTTTCTCAAAAACTGACCGTGCTAGAAAAATTTTGTAAATGCGCTTCAAATGACCATCAAAAAATTTATAAGATGAGGTTGCCACGGTTTTTGAGATGAAACAACCAAATTTTGTTGAACCGTGTTTTTTAAAGCCCTCCAACACGATATGTATGTATTTGCATGTGGAAATGTAACTTTTGACATAAATACGCAATTTCCTTCTCTATGAAACGGATTCACGTACATACATGCATACAACGGCACAGAAAGCTTCTTTCTTTATCTGACACGCAGATAAAATCTGCTGTGTTTTGTTTACTTATTTCGTTTTGAAAGAACGTTATTTTAAAACGTACACTAACTAGAGTGAATTTAACAGACACACATAGTGACACCTACACATGCAAATACATACATATCGTNATGCAAATACCTACATACATATCGCGTCAGATGGCTTTTAGAAGTTTCATAGGCAAAGCATATACAGTCTTGTTTTGAGAATCATCTGTGAAACATGACTTGAAGTTAGTTTTTTTTTTTTTTATATCGTTGTAGGTTCATTGTGTTACGAAGTATTCAAGAAAGACGTTAACTACTGACATTCAATAAAACTCGCGTCAATCGCGCTCATAACAGTTGCAAGGAAGCACAGTCTCCATCAAAATGTTCACCAGACTAGCAGCAACACAAACTCTCACTAAAGGCCCACGCCCACTAGTTTTATGCGGACCGTCCGGCTCTGGGAAGAGCACGCTGCTGAAACGTCTCTTTGCAGAATTTCCAAACACTTTTGGTTTCAGCATTTCGCATACAACGCGTGCGCCACGTGCCGGTGAGGTGCATGGCATCCATTACTACTTTGTCGATCAGCAGGAAATGCAGAAAAAGATCGCGAATGATGAATTCATTGAGACCGCAATTTTCAGCGGCAATATGTATGGCACCAGTAAGGCAGCAGTGCGTGAGATACAGCAGGCGGGCAAAGTGTGCGTACTGGATATAGAGCCGCAAGGTGTGGAGCAAATTAAAAAGACGGACTTGAATCCAATTTTGGTTTTCAACAATCCACCAACAATCCGAGATTTGGAATTGCGTTTGCGCAAGCGCCAAACTGAAACGGAGGAAACATTGCAAAAGCGACTGACTGCAGCTGTAGAGGAGATAGCATATGGGCTGAAGAATGGAAATTTTCATAAGATTATTAATAATATTGAAATTGATGCAGCTTACCTAGAGTTCAGAGATTTCATTGTGAACGAGTTGAAGAAGCAAGAGGCCGAAGGTGTTCGTATTCGTTGGAAATGAATCTTAGACTTGGAGTGTTGAAAAATTACGAAATAATAGTCGAGTTCATGTTGTCAATAGAAGATAAGAACATATGTAATGAAGATGACGTTAAATAAAAGAAATTAACTTTTGAAATCGTTTGCTTCAATTTATGCTAGGTCCACCCTGACAAGAGCTTTTCCGAGCGATGAAATCTTAACCAGATTTAACCCGTCTTGCACACAATAAGAAGCGTAGTTAGGTGAAATTTTTCAACCGTATCAGCTAAACCCAAATAAAAGAGCCCAAAATGAGAGTTCAAGGGCAATGCGGGTTGAACTAAACAGTTTTAACCACTTTCCTCAAAATTTGAATTTGATATCCAAAACTCTTTCCACAATTTGAGAAAATTCACTACCCTGAGATCTGAGATAAACACCATGCGCGAACCCTCAAATTTTCATATCAAATGCGAATACTTAGTAACAAAATCTTTTAAACAAACAGATACTTTGGAGCAATTTTAGACAGATATTGTAAATATTTATCTTATGTCGAATGGAGCTAGGTAAGTAGAGATAGAGCATGTAAGGCTCAGGTACGTCTATCCACAGAATAATAGGAGCTTCAGCTTCTACAGTGTCGTCCAGTGTTATGTAGGTCTAACAAGCCAGCTCCGTTCTCTCAATTTTTAACCTACGAGTTCAATAGAAATGCCCTGTTCGATCGGACTCGCGATGAATGTCACTCAAGGCCTGTCGGTAGCCCATCGGAGGCAGGATTTTAAATTTTCCTTTTAAGTTCACATGCCGAAGCAGCGACTCTGCCTAAGAACTGCATCAGTTCTATTCCAACATATATTGCCTGCCCTCTGTATTACTTAAAATCGGCGCTGATAATGAGCACAGAATCGTCGGTCTTTGGTGGTCTTTATTAGACTTTCCTGAGTTATATAACTTAATGCACTGGGTACAAGTAATGTCTGGTGCAAATGTTGGCGCTGCATATTTTAGAAGCTTTTTAAATATTGTGAAATTTATAATAGATTGAGTTATGATGGCCTTGGGTTGATAATAGATAATAGAAACCTAGAACTGACCAATTGATTCAGAAAAATCAAATATTTTATAAGAGTAAAACCTGAAAATTGCCTGCGAAGTGAGGAAAAGTCTGAATGAGAATGATTTGTTAGTCCTTTGACAGCTTGCTATTTGCATACGGGTCTGCTATTGAACTGACGGAGGATTGTATCATCTAGCTAATATGAGAGGTAGTAAAGTCATTCGATGATCTCCTAGTCTCACTGAATTTAAATTTAACATCCAAAAGCAGCAAGGCACGCATTCCAGCCAAGGTTCTTAATTTACTGAAGTAGAAATTTTAAGTTACGAATTTTTTCTGCAGGGTATGTACAACAATTTAGAAACCATACAGCAAACTAGCGCTTAAAACCAAAATTATGCCTGGAAATCCATTAAAGCTACTTGAAAAGGCCTAAAATTAATAAGCAGCATTATGTATAATTAAACGCCCACATTTCTTAAAACACATTTTTCTAAGTTCAAGGCAAGGAAACACAAAGAGCACCACACTCAAAACGCTACACCACTTTTAATAACTCACTCGAAATAATTGTAAAATAATTCTTGTTTCAATTTGTTTGAACTTGAAAAATTTCGTTGAGAAAAACCAACACAGAAACAGCAACAACTGTTTAGACAAGTGTATCTCAAGAAACGATGGAAATACACCGAAATACACTGAAATAAACAGACATAAAGTAATCAGCAATTTAAAGATATCTTAATTAATACATACAAACAGACAGGCAAGTAGAGATATAATTAAATTACGCCGCTACAATTAAACTAAGCCAGCAGACATTTAGGTAAGCAGAATTGTGGAATTATAGAAAACAGCTGATAAAGGCGCTTAAAGATGTGAGATAAAAACATACAGATAGATGTATGTAAGTACATAGGTACTATATGTTTTTATTTACATACATATGTACATAAATATGTACTTGCTTACTTGTAGCGGTCTATATACTTGTATTTCTAAAATTTTTACTTCGTATAGCTATCTGCTGCAGCTTGTCGCTTGCCGATTTGGTTGGTGAAAGATCGTTTCTCTGCGCCTTAGAAGGTAGTTTATAATTTATCGTGCGCTCGCGTGGATTGAAGTGCTTTTGTTGAAAATAAGTGTTCTTGTAATGCTAATTTAATTAGAAGATCTCATGTAGATAAGTGCTGTGGTATAAAGGCATACCTATACATACATCCAGCATAAGAAATAATGTGGTGAAGTCGGCTGAATTTGAGATTAAAAAAATGCTACAACAGCCCACAACACGAGACGATGAAGTGATTGAGGTATAATTATTGAATTTACAGCGGATATAATATTGATAGACGAAATGAGTGGCAGGTCAAGGAGAAGATTCAACTTGGTGCTACTTCGGTTGAAATTAAATTATTTTCTCAAAAATTTTATTTCGATAAAACAGGGAAATAATAAGCTTACTATAAATATATTGTGGTTGTTCACACTTGCCTGATTATCAGCTTATCTGGTTAAAAATAATAACAATAAAATACACTACAGAAAATTTATTTTTAACCAGATTACCTGATAACCAGGCAAGCGTGGCAAAAAACGATATTTTTACACTTTATCGATCACATGTTATATGCTGGGTGTCGAAAACGATATTTAACTGGGAGTTAGAACTAACCTGAGATGGTGCAAACGGCCCTTAAAGTAGTTTCCTTGAATACAAAAATTATCACTTTTTTATGAAATCTCATGTGCTTTTTTTGTTACAATTTTTATACAATAAGTTGCAAGTTTCAAGTGGCTACAAAATAAGGTTGATATTTAATAATTTTGAACCCAGATCGCATGAAATTTAATAAAAAAAAACTGATAATTTTTGTATTCCATAAAACTGCATACCACACATTTTTTTGAATTTTTAAAATTTGTTGAGTTTTTATATTTGTTTTTTTTTTGTATAACTAGATGACTTAAAAAAAATATATTTATTTTAAATAAACTAAAGCAATATACCCAAAACGGGTCAAAATCTACCAATATTATATCTGCCACCAGTTTAGCACATTCATTACCCGTTTAAAAAAATAATAAAATTGTGTATTCAATTAAAGTTTGTGGGAAACTGAGATTTTCACAATTATTTATGAATATAAGTACAAAATGATATATCTTCCCAGAAACGTGTAAAATAAAGGTTTGCTAAGTTTAAACGCAAGATTTTTAAATTTTTTTAAATTTGGATATGTGGGATTTCTCAAAGAGACCAGTTGAATTTTTCTAAAGGAGCTTAAGATTGCGATTAGAGCCAACTGGACGCGACACCTTTCTTTATTGCATCATGGGCTGTAGGTTAGTTTTCTTAATTAGTGGGTTTTTGCTTCAGTGTAAATATGGGTATATTTGGGAAAAATTTTTAAAAATAAAAATTATTATTTTTTTTTTTCACGATGCTTTCAGTGCTCTATTCAGCTAACAAAACTTATTAAATATCTGAGTAGAGAGCACTATTTTGCTGATGATGCACAGTTGCATGCACTAGAAATAAAAGCATCAACATATTTGAATAAGTATATGTATGTACATATCAAAAGTTTCACTTAAAAATTTCTTTGCTAATGCCATAGATAAAATGATCACATTCTCTCAAGGTTGTTAGCTTCCACCACAAAATGTACATATTTATGTAAATATGACAATCTAACACAAATAAGGGAGAAAGCAGATAAAGCGAAGCTATCTCGGTGATAAGAATTTAAATGTGCATACAAACAAGAATCTATGTCAACAAATGTACGTACAAATTATAGAAAAGTAAGCCAAGAAAAAACTGTCAACCATTTTTGTGTAACATCAGATTTTATGCTCCCAAGACAATAATGAAGCAAAAGAAAAAACATAAATTCAAATAAAAAAGTAGCTCATTCGAAAATAAATTTCTCGGTAACTACACACGCCTGCGATGGTTTCCCCTTAATATGTTAATTAATAAACAATTTGTGTAAGTATTAGGTACGAAGAAATGAAAAAAAAATTTAAGAAATTTACCTTTTCATTTTGCTTAGTGTAACCGCGTATTATTAGCGTTAACTTCGAATTCATATTATTATGAATTTTCACAGTGTTAAAAAAGTAGTTGCTTGTGGTTTCAAGTCCTCTAAACATTTATTCAATCTATTAAAGTTTACAGCATACAACAATATGACACTTACGGCACCGATGTAAATACCCCAAATGATAATTTCAAAGTAACAACACAGATATTTATACCGAAAAATCTAAAAGGGTATCAAATATCTTGCATAGGATCTGCGTCGAAAAGCGTTTTTTTTTTTAACAGCACTCCTCAATTTTCCGACTGTGGTGCTTTCCATCGTTTGAATGTTTTAGTTAGTCTGCCGACCACTGAAAAACTTTAAACTCTATTACTGATACGTCCTTAAACGCATAAGCAGCATAAGCAGACGGCAGCGTTGATCCGGATCATTTCGGAAATTAACTGCAGTTGATGCGGATTAAGTCCGAGTTAATTCGGATCAACGCTGCCGTCTGTTTAAGCTTTTAGCTGATTAAATTCTTGGGCTGCCAAGCCTTTGAAAGGTCGATTCTAGTATAGAAGGTAAATTTTGAAAACATATTACAACTAGGTTTTGCCGTTCTCTAAGCAAAAATAAGAAACACTGTGGGTAATATGGAGCAAAATAAAAAATTTGAATACAAACAAATTTTAGTTTTTGGTCACTTTCGGAACCCGTTGCCGACCACTAATAACGCTTCTATTTAAAAAAGAAATGTGTATATCAAACCAGTCAGGAAAAACTTACTAAGCAGTTTTTATGGCAGTGCTATATACTAAGTAGTTGATTTTCGAATAAAGTCCTTTACTGTAACACTCATATCTTCGACATTACTAAGACAATGTTGTTGATGATCATGAGCATCTATTTAAATCATAATGCGCAGTGAAGTGCAAAGGCTACCATTTATAAATAGTGCAGGGTTGGCATACTTCCCTTATTCATGTACTGTACCGTGCAAAAAAAAAACAAATAATTTGATTACGA